CGGCCCTACTGCTGGATCCCACGTTCAAGTTCGTCATTAAGAGTCACCTACATGACCTGGGATGTACTATATCATACACAAATGCAGTGGTGCTTGGACCACTCCGTGATAAAATTGATAACGCCATCGCCAAGTGTAATCCCTCAGGAAATTTCAACTTTCCCTTGAAGAAAGGGCAGAAAAAATACAAACGGCAATCTGGCCGGCGGTCTTCTATGGAGCCCTTGGGCTGACCATCGGAGATAAGCACTTCACAACCTTACGGAGGGCAGCCACGAATGTGTTAGTCGGTGACCACAAATACGCCTCTAGTATGATCGCTTTGCATTATCTGACAGAGCGAGTCCAGGACCCGCTACTGTATATAGTTACTGATATGCTCACAACCCTCCGCCGCCTATATGTTTACTACCCAGACGCTGCACAAAGTATACTTCACACGCTCCGATCGTTTGACGGTAAAGTTCGCGGACCAGCTAGTGCCTTGGCCTCTTACTTGAATAAGCTAGGCTGGGAAGTCTCAAGTAATGCAACCCTCCTGGGTCCGGGTGGCCTGTGTGTCAGTCTGTCAGGATCCTCATCCACGCAGATTAAAGCACAAGTCCGAATAGCCTGGGACTGGCATTGCCATAAAGAGGTTTATCACCGAAAGGGTGTTCCCACAAACCCCTTTGACTCCCTTACTACCATCCGCTTGATGCAGACAACGAAGAATTTTGGCACTAAGTCTCACGTCCGGATGGCAATCGTTAGGCGCAATAGCAACTTGGTCTGCCACACAAGATCCACATTGCCCGTGGTGTGGCCAATTTGATACGCATACCCACCAATTGTTAGATTGTCCCGAATTTGCCACCATAAGAGCCGAGCATGCAGACGCCATCGCATACATGTCGAACAACCACTATGCCTGCTGGTTCCCACTGCCATACCACCATCACGACACAGAACTTGTACGGCAGGCCATGCACCTTCGTGACCAAACATGCACAATTCACCCGCCACATAACATCCCTGACCAAACGGTCATATACACAGATGGCACCTGTGACAATCCTCGAGACCCATATGCTGCACGTGCAGCTTGGGCAGCCATTATTAGGACACCAACTGATCCTCCACATGACGCGGCGGCTACCAACTGGAACTTTCAGGTGCTTGCGGCAGGGCATTGCCCTGGCCACCAGACGATTGGTCGTGCTGAATTGTATGCCATGGTGGTGGCAGTAGAGCTTGTGTCCGCCGATGCTTCCGCAAGCCACATACAATTTGTCACCGATTCCAAATATGTTGTCAATTGTATCAATCAAATTGAAGATGAAACGATCTTTACCAGCCCACATAAGAAAGCACATTGGGACTTAATCCGACGATTAATTTTGACCTGGCAACCGGCTAAATTTACCGTTGTCAAAATTAAATCCCATCAAGACATTATACAAGCTCAAACTGAACAGCAAGCCTGGCATATTCGTGGAAATGCCCTTGCAGATCAGACAGCCATGCATATTCGTCAAATTGATGACACAGATTTTGCCAACATTTGCACAACAGTCCAGCAACACTTACAACAACAACAGAAAATACTCAGCAAGGTATACATGTACCTGATTGACATCGCGCATGCCAGGATGGCCAAGATAGATTTGACCAAGCAAAAAAAGAACCTGCATGACTCACTTGGGCCCCTGTCAGGTGAGGCTGTTGACGTATTCCAAAACCAGATCCAAAAGCTACAGAGCTGGCAAGTGCGGGAAGCGGCCTACGTTATGCCAGCAATCCCACATAGAGTAGTCTTTTAGTGTAGTACATGGGGTACAAATCTAACATACTTAGTATGGCAGTTTTGCTCACAGCTGAGATGGCCTGATCCTACCACACCACGTCAACCAGCTGACCAAGGCATCTCTTGGGTTGAATTAGTGATATCGTTCATGATTTGGTCAAACTGTAAGATGCCCATACGCATCAAGGACAATAAAAGCTATAAATACTTGGCATATGATGACCCCCAAATCCAGCTACTGCCAGTAAAGGCCAAATCCCTTCGCATCCTGGCCGAGAACTTTCGATGGGTGGTCAAACACATTCAGACATTCTCAAGATCAAAAATTATACCAACATACACTAAACAAGGAACATCTAGCCTAACCCGATTAGGCTTCACTAATGATCATGAAGGTGGCATTTCGCGACGGCCCCAGTTGCCCAACGCGGTTGAGACATATAGCACGCTCCATACTATGCTGAAGACAATGCCTCATGACCCACCGTTTAACACAGATGTACTCCTGCCGTCCTTGCCACAAAATGTATCCCCTCCACCCTGGCCCCAGTGGCCAGAAGTTGACAGGAACAAAGCAGACGCGTTTTTGCAACATGTCCGCTATGCCCTGTACCGGAAGAAAGATTTTGATACCATTGCCCATCCGAGCGGGCACTAAATTAGTTTTCTGAATTTGTGCGACTAGAATTCAAGCTGACTTGAACCGTGGACTTCAGAGCCTTAGACGTGCTGGCTGTTCGATCTCCTTCGCTACCACCTAGCCTTTCGTAGTAGCTGCCTTTCTGTACATACTCTGTCTAGGATCTACTTTCACACCGTTCAGAGTCTCACACCACTCTACCCACACCCGCTACAACAGCAAGGGATGGTGTAGAAGCGAGCAGACATCGCAAGTGAGTGCATCCAAATGGGGGGGGGTTATTGAGACTACAGAATCGACATTTAAAAATTGTTGAATGGCGTACTTTCACGTCTATTGATCTGCAGTTTTTTAATAACAATGTAGTCTAGTCTACATATGTTTTTGTGTTTATCTCTACATGTACTATGTCTACATGTGTAGACATCTCTACATATAGTCTACATATTACATATTGTATATAGTCTACACATGTGTTTATCTCTGACCGCTTTACAAAGCAAACGTGACACATCCAGTCAGTCCCCAGTCCCGCACCGGTCGACCGGTCTGACCGAGGTGATGGGCACGGTGACGGTGCTGAACCTCGCAGGGGACGTGGTGCTGAGCCAGCAGCTGGGGACCACCAATCGATGGTTTTTTCGATTTGGGTGTTCTCTGACTTTGTTGATTTTGGTTTTCCTGGGTTATACAATCCACAGCAAAGCATTCGGGAGTTTTTGCTCTTGTTTCAGTTTCTTGGAGACATGGTTTTGCATCAACCCGATCCTGCTTGGGTCGTGCGTTCTTACGTTCGGGTCCAAGAAGTGGTGCGCGGAGCATGGGCTGTTGACTTTGGTTAATGTAGACTCTTGAGTAGTACGCCCTCCCCATCTCAGTTGGAAAGCCTTTGCATATTTTCATATGGTGCATTTATTGATCAAGAATATATTGAAGGATATATCAAGTTCAAAGATTAAGATGTTTAACAAATTTCATACTGAGTCCCTGCATAACTTAAGTGTGAAGCTGATAATTAAATACGTATAGATTGGGGGTGTCCTATTAGCCGTAACAGTCAGTAAACAATGTATAGTTTTTTAGACGAAATGCCTTCACTAAAAATCATCATCCACTGAGCCTTGAGAATGGGATGTGTTCAATACATAAGTGTAGAAATTATCAGACCCGGTGACAGGCCCGCTGACCCCAATTCGGTTCCCTGGCTCAGTGATCACATGTTTTGGTGGTGTTTTGGAGGGCTTGAGCAACGAAGCGTTTGGTGAGTTTGGGGATTTGGGGATATCATGTTTCATGTTATCCAGAATGGTGATCAGCCAATCCAAGTTGACGACTTAGTCGTGACAGAGGGAGCATGCTGGGAGCACGCAGACCTCTCATTCAGACGATCCACAGGTTTGGTTGACATTTGCATCATATGGACATGGGGCTGTCAGACACTTCAGCGGACTGGCATATTTACCATCGGTTGTGGTGGTGATGCAACCAGGTCCATGTATTAGTATTCCAGTCACATTTTTTTTGTTAGGGCATGGGTTGCGCCGATATGACATTATGATGCATGATCAACCATGACGGCTTTGGCGCTGGGCACTGCCATGACAGTGTTTGTCCGGATATGATCCTTACAGAGAAGGACTCAAACCCATCACCAGGTGGAGCCTGCCAGGTGGATCTGGGTCAGCTCAATTCCTCCACCCCTCGGACATGCTTCCGGGATTGAGTCGGGTCACGCCGCTGAACTCGCCCTCCGTCATGCACCCGAGTCCCTGCACACCGGGCTTGTCGGTGGCGGAGCTGCGATCCAAGCTGCCGGATCCGTTCATGTGGGAGCTGATTTGGGAGGCGAGGCTGGAAGAATTGCTGAAGCAAGGGAGGTATCCAGTGACCTTTTTCATGCCTGAATTGTAGCACCCAAACTGCCTGGTGTATCTGGATAGGGTTCTTCAAGCTTTGTTGGAAGTGTGTCTCCTTTACAACCACGGGACGAATGATGTTCGTTCGGTTTCGGAGGTGCTGGTGGAAAGAAAACTCGGGGTCATCACTTGAGGATCGGCTGTGACATGTGATGAATTTGTTGGAATCCTTCAGCCTTTGTCAGTTCTCCTTTGGTCTCCTAAAGGGCCAGTAATGTTCGGCTCTCAAGGACCGGTGGCTGGCTGTCTAGTAGCCTCATCTCGTTATCAACACATATACATACATATACCACAAATGGTTTCTTTGGTGGTTTCGTCGTCTGAAATCAAAAAAGGTGCTTGGAATCCGAGTCGACCAACGACCGATGTCTTCGGCAGGGCCACCCGGCGCTGCGCGATGAAGAGACGGCGGGCCAGTTGGGGTGGTCGGACGCAGTGACATTGTCAGCCGTGGCGACACTGGGCGGCACTTGAGGGCGGCAGGCGGACGGGCCCGTACTCGGCCCGTACTTGGCCCACTGGACACTGGGACGGGCAGATGGATTGTTCAGTTGGTATAGTAATATAAGCTGAGTATACTATATTAGTATATTCATTATAGACAATTTATATTAAATTGCATGTTTTCTTTTAATATAGTTATGTTGTATTACGTTATAGATAGTAGAATCTCTCTCTCTCTCTCGATCTGTGTATAGTGGTCTCATGTTGCCACCCTATAACGCAAGCACTCCATGTATCAATAGACTCTTAGACTACACAACATATATGGACCTCCATCGGACATAGATATATGGCTGTGAGTCAAACCCTCCACCTACCTCATGGGAACATCCTTTACAGAGGAATCTCTTCATTTCACTCGGGGGCTTAGCTCCGCCCGGGTAGCTCCCCGTGGTCCGGAGCTGGTCCGTTGCTAGGTCGACGGTCCGCAGGGTCCAACGGGAGGGGTGTGGTTGAAGGCTCCACAGCAGGGCGAAGCTCCATGAACTGGAGGATGGAGCAAAAAAGGAGCATGGATATAGTCCCATCCAGGTTCTAGGCTCCTATCCAGGTCCTAAGTCCTAAGCTCCCATCCAGGTCCTAAGCTCCAGAACAGTTGTTCTTGCATTTTTCAGATCTACCATAGTCACGAGTCACTACCATTGTATCCAAGTCTAGCATTTTGTTTAACCTACGTTGCTTGGCTCAAGGCAAAAATTGTATGGTTTTTGGATGTGTTTGGCTGTTAACCTGTAAATGTCTTTTTTCCTGGAACCGGTTCAGCCTTTTGGCATCCACGGTGTTTTAGGAGATCGGCGGACTATGATGCGGCCATCCACGCTCTTCGTGGGTCCGAGTGGTCAAAAGCACCACCTTTGGAGCAGACGCTTGGTCAACGCGGCGGTGGGTTTTTTGGGGTGCGAGTTCAGGTAGAGAACAGGGTGGAGCGGAGTTCAGGTCGGCGGCGACCGTCGCAGACGTGCGGAAGGAGATGTTGTTGGGAACTGATTTTGTGTGGAAGGGAGTCATAAAGATTAGTACTTGCTGACTCTGCACTTAAAGATTGGTGTCATGTTTGCTGTAAGGGTCCAGTTTGCCGTGGCAGCTTGCTGTAAACGTCCGAGGAACGAGGTGAAACGCCTTTGCACTCGCGCCCAGGAGACGGCCTCGCGCCGAAACGACGTCCGTCGAGTCGTCGAGTCGCAGATGACGAACATTCGGCCGTTTGCGGGGCAGTTGTAGGATGAATCATCACACAGTAGGACGATGTCAGCAGTTGTGTTTATATATCCATCACTTGATTTGAAGGTTTGGCCTTATATAGATCCCATATATGATCCCGCCCATATGCCTCAGAAAAGAAGCACCATGATGTCTGCCACAATGCTGATGGGCGCAGCACGATGCACAAAAATGGGAACCCGGGAGCAACAGATCTGTGCAGCGGGGCAGCGGGGTTTGGTGCTGGGTCCCGCAGCGAGATGGGCGAGAACTGGTGTCCAGACTGAACGGGGAAATGGGCGCGAACGGCAGCGTGCAGCGTGTCATGGCATCAGTCTCTCCGTATTCCCCATGACGTGTCACAGGATGTCACAGGCAGGCTGAGTAGGAGAGAAGAGACGCAACGATCAGCGCTGTGGCTTAAGAGTTCACCTTCAGAATTGACCTGGTCCATATGGCCTTTCACATCCCTCCACCGTCGCGGCCTTCAATGAATTAATGAACACATGCTTCTTGGAGACCACAATCAAACGATACCGAATCCCAACAGGCTCTACCTTCAAAGCTTGTTGGGGTAGGCTTGGGGGTGGGGTCTGTCCCTACCTCACCTGAGGATGTGGTGGGAGCTTTTGGGGGGTATGACATCCATATCCGTTTTCGTACCTTCTCAGGTACGGGACACGTGTGTACTCATCCACTGGTTTTATAAGTGTGGGACACGTGGCACACGTGCTGAAGCGATACGAGAACGGCCTCACCCACTCGTCCGGATTCGATCCGGATGCCATGTCTATAGTCGTCTAGTCGCAGCCAACCCCAACCGCGACCTGTTTGGGACTGCCGGACTGCCGATCAGGCGAGGGGTGTTGGTGCCGGGGGTGTCTTTCTGGGGCGGCAGTCCTATTCCAGTCCCAGGCAGCTCAGCTCGTGTCGCAGCCAACGGATATACCAACGGATCTATCTACTTACTCGCAGCGCCGGTGGACCGGTGGATGGTCCACCTCACCTCGGGGCCAAGACCTCGGCTCGCCTGAAGAGTCGAACGAATGGGCATGCAGCGACTCGTTCGAACTGATTTCTGTTCAACTAAAACTACCCAGACACTCCATGTATATGGATATATGCATTGCCCTATAGTGTAGACTGTGACAGATGTCATACCCAGACCTTCCATGGGACTGAAAGGCCTATGCAGCAACCCGAAAAAGCACCTGTTACATCCTGTTACGGCCAGTCAGTCCCGCCTTTCTTACTCAAGTCCGCTTGGTCATGCATTCTCGAATCTTGCAAGCCTTTTTTTGAGTCTGAGAATCTGATAAGGGAACATCGGACCCATGGTTTTCAAGCCAAACTATAGGGGTTTCCTGAAGTTTTTGCTTTTTGATTTTAAACTCCAATCCTGGCGGAGGAGATCCTGCTGGCCGAGCCGAGCTTGCTCACTTTGGAGCCACCCGTGGTCGTCTCGGCACACCCCACCGGCCACATGACGCTTGGATACGCTTACTTTCCAGCTTGTTAAAAGGGACCGTTTAATTCTATATCAAGACTGGTCGACCTATCATCGGGCCTTTTCATGACCTCAATTTCAAGCGGATCTCACTTTGAAGAACCAGGTGCGACCTTTCTTCTGGCTCGCTGTTGAGTTCTGAAAGTAGGTATGCTTTGAGGCCCTGCACTTCGATTATTTTTATTTTTTTGAGTGTGATTTGTTGCGCAGGAATTAAGTGATGCTTTGATTTGGTGAGAATAGAGTTTATTTTTGGCTTCTGATTCTTCAGCCAGCAAGATGGGAACTGGTTGCTTTTGCTTCAAGGTTTTTCACATTCACTCTCCTTTGTCACCACCGTCTCGAGAAGCGGACCTGAGTGAAAAGGAAGACGCTGAACTACATCTTCGACACCTTCGGCGAGCCGGGTGGCACGGTCCACTTGTTCTTGGGCAACTACGTGAACCGAGGCCCGCTCGGTCGATTCTACAGTTCCGTCTCCCCCCGCGCGGCGCGGCGTTCGGACACGACCCGGGTCTCGCGCGAGACCACAGCGAAGCGGAGGGGAGGGGCGGTCTGGGAAACATCCTGAGGCTGATGAAGGTGGAGGTGTATCCTTGAAAATACTCAGACACGACCCATCGGACTGCCATAGGACTGCCTACATTGGGGTGGTGCCAGGGGGGGTCAATGTAGGCACATATGGCATACATGGAGCGTTTGGGATAGACAGCGGGAAGATGCGGCATGCTTGTGCAACGAACATGCACCATGCTGAAAACCATTTAAAGGATTTTAAAGGTATGCATGCTTATTTGGAACCCCATGCCAGTGGAGACCTTTGCCTTTGAGCAGGCAAGCACTCTTTGGAAGTGTTCATCTTGCTGCTGTCCTACAAGCTGAAGTATCCAGGATGCTCGCATCACGGACAGCTCGCATCACGGCGGGTCGATCCCACTGGTTGGATCGGTTTTCGGCACGTCGATCATGCTTCTTGAAATGGAAAGGCTTGCAGCCAGGCCCCGTCCTCATCCTGGGGCATGGAGCTGTAATTACACGGTTTGCTCATGAATTGGCACCGAAGTAGCCAGTGCTCAGAAGACATGGAGGATCAAGGAACTCGGAGAAACTCCCCAAACCAGGGCTCTCAGTGGGACGGTCAGCTTCATCTCCCGGAGCATCCAGAAACAGATCTTCGGCAGGTGGACCCAAATGGGTGGTTCGGGTGCATGGACGAAGTCTTTGCTTAGGGCAACCCCTGGATGATTTCATGTTCTTTTGGAGTCCGTGCACGAACTTGGGTGCCATGTGATACTAATTCTTTGTCAACCAATGAGCTGAAGCGAACCAACGCCCTCCACGCATGGTCCGACCTGTGTGAAACTCACACCGAAGGACCTGGTTGGAAAAGGAGTCGAGTCGGGCGGATGGAGTCGAACGAAGATCGCCGAGCGCTCGTCCTAAGAACAGCTTCATCTCCTCCGGGGCCGTTATGACTGTGGAAACTTGGGGCGCATTTATGGCTTCTACGACCAGTGCAAGCCCCGCTACGGTGTGCCACGGTGGCAGTTTCGTGGTTTCAGAGATGCGTGGTGAAGAGGAAGCGGCACCAGAAGTGGCTTCTGATTGAAATGTCCCTGAACGGTCTGAACTGCTCAAGTTCAGCTGCCCGTTCTCCCCTTCCCCGATGGTGGCCGGATTGGTAGCTGCCAACTGATGCGGGATATCCAGGTTCAGAGAATAGATTTCCAGACATGGTCCGGTGCACACACAGTTGGACTCACAGCTATTGGGCTTTTTTCTTTGTTCATTCGATGCATTTCTGGGCGCCGAAGTTGGAGGTCCCTTGCGGTCCCTTTCTTTGGTGCTTAGTTCAAGAAAAACCAAGCTTAATCGGTGTGTTCACAGGTTCCATGATAAAGGAATGCACTACCACCACTACTACTACTACTACTGCTACTACTGCTAGTACTAGTAGTAGCAGTAGTAGTAGTAGCAGTAGTAGTAGTGGTAGTAGTAGCAGTAGTAGTAGTAGTGGTAGGATGCGCATGTTAGTCCAGTCCTCAGCGCCTGCCGAGGTGAAGTTCTGGAAGACCTTTGTGGAAGTCTTCAATTCACTGCCAATTGCTGCGGTCGTGGGGTATCTTTGCGAAGAGTGGAAGCCGGCAGAAAAGCGGGCGGTGCGATCCAGCAGGTTGGACAAAGAATAGTTCATCGAGTAGTTGAATGTGTTGAATCTCACTTGTCCCAAAACTAATTATGCATGATAAATCTAGTTATCCATAGCCGCTCAGAGAGGTTACGGGGCGTCCATTAACCACCCTGACAGTGGGTCTTGGAAGATGTGGGAGTATACTGCAGATGGAATCACATGAAACTGATCCAGAGTCAAAAGACTCCCAACATGTGATTTTATTGTTTGGCCATGTTTGGGCCAATCTTTGATACCCCACTGATGATTATGTATTTTCTCAAGTTTTGCTCACCCAACTTGACTAAACATATTTAAACCACAAGATATGGAGATGGCGGAAACATTAATGAAGACGCGTCAACACGGAGAGACAGAGAGAGAGAGAGAGAGAGAGAGTTTTGTTGAGACTTGTTCGCCACGTGTGGGTGCTGCCCCATGTGGGCGTTTGCCACTGCAAATGTCTCCATTTTTTCGGTGTTTGCCACCGAGGAGCCGAATCTACTGTGTCTCTGGTGGCTTATCACCCAGCATGAGGACGGGACATGTCGGGCATGGATCTTCTTCGCATGTGTGATGTTGGCAACCGATGTTTTCGCTCCGGTGTCACTCCAACCTTCTTGTGTTGTTTCGACCACTTGCAGTGCATCCACCATTTCATGGTGATGTGCCAAACCTTTGATGACTCCTTCGACTCCTTGTCTCTTTGAGCACCACCTCTCTGCGGCCGATGGCCCCGAACCACATCGGGTACGCGGTCGGAAGCCTCCCCGTGATACGTCGTTTTCAGGTGTCGGCGCGGTCCGTCGGACCCGAGTCGGTTCGGTACAAAGGTTGGTTTGGAGTCCTGAGGCCGAAGAATAAAACAACACATCGGCTCCCCCCAAACAATCCCCAAGCACCGATCTTGTCTCCGAAAACAAAGCGATGTTACCTTGGACACATCTTCGATGCCGGTGATGCCTCCTCTTTTGGAGGAGACGACCTTGGGGGAACCCAGACAGCCAGCACCACAAGAGGCGAAAGACCATGTAACAGCTCGTTTTGCTCATGTTTAACCAGTGGGTAAATACATGTAAGTACACTTCGGGGGATAGGTATTATTTTCTTAGCGGGTCCTTAAGCACATCCAACAAAATCATGTAACAATACTGAGTGACTCATGGTTTGGAGCACTAACCGCCCCCCAAATCCTCGAACAAATAGGATATCATTTTTTGTGTGATACACCGATATACCACAAAAAAGGCTTCCAAGGCCATTTCATAACCCATACACTGTATTCAATGTAAGGTAAACATGCCATAGTATGGGCCATACATGGAGTGTTTGGGTCATGGTTGACACCTGGCGTTGTCGCCTACATTCCTTAATAACACAGTGTGGTTCTTCGGGATTCAGACTCTGATTTTGGGCCAGCTATTTTGGAGTACTGTGAGAATATCGTGAGAGATTGGCGTTTTATTGTCTTCAGCTTGTACTACCCTGGCTGTGTCTTCTGCGTCTAGCCGTGTGAATAACAAGAGTTGGTCACAGCCACAGAATGCACGGTTGCGAGTTAAATGAAACATATCCAACAATGAATTGGGTGGCGTTAAGTCTCGTCCCATCCCAGTGGTGGATGTGATGCGTCCCCGCATGCTTTGGCTTATAGGGATCCGCATGCCCTCTGAAAAGTTATTTGAAGACTATTGATGTAGGTGCCTGGGTCGGGCCCAGTCGTACCTTCTGAGAAGATATGTGGATCTTTAGGGTTTGGAAGAGCCCCTCTCTGAAGATTAGTTCAGAACTCAGCAGCCGTGGCCACACAGCACCAGTCGGATGGTTTTGCGCCAGTCAGACGGCAGTTTGTACGGAATACCATGTCGATCGATGGTGAAGAGTCGATTGTATGGAATTACCAGCCAGCAGTCACAAGACGGGGTGCCTGTGCCGAACGGAGGACGTCGGGGTGCCCCTGTCACATCAGCCACTGGATGGGACGACTAAAGACCACCCCGTACGCCGTACTTGTGACTCTTGGAGATGGATCACTCTTCCGATTTGGGCCAATCTTCCATCCCATCATCCCATCTCATCGTGCCCACCCGGGTGGTACCCCTGTCACGCCCCGCTTGGAGCGGGTCGAGCCCAGGAGCTTGGAGGACCTTCGCCAACTCCAACGCCCCACCGAGGCCGAACGGCGTGCGGTTCGGCGGTGCAGCGCGGTACCTCGCGAGGGGCGAAGTAGGACGGAGCGGAATGGTTCGGTGACGTGCGAAGAAACAACATATACCGACACTCCATGTATGCCAGATATGCCGATCAGTTGGGGTGGTTGAAGGGGTCGAGTCAATGCGGCGGCATATATGGCATACATGGAGTGTTTGGGATATAACCGGAATCCGGGTCGCCTCGTCGTCCCGGTCCTGGGTCGAGTTGACTTGTTTGGTACGTCAGAACAGGAGTACGAGATGGTACGAGTATACCAGATCTTTGACTTTTTGGCGGCATTTCAATGGATTTTCTACGATGCGAACTGCAGAGTCTCAGGCACGTATTAGCTCACTATATATAGGTTTTCGAAGATGCGAACTCGACCTCGGCGGCTGACCTCGACCTCGACCTCGGCGGTGGGGAACCCCACCTCCGCCAGGTTCCCGATCAGGGGCTCCTCTGTGATGTGCTGTGGTCGGATCCCGATGCCCTTCCAGGATGGCAGGAGATTCCCAAGGGCGCCGCTGGGCGGATCAGACGATGGCAGTGCCGTGTGGGCGCACCGGATCCCTTCGTGGATCCCAGAAACCCTCCCGTACGGGTACGGACCAGTGACGTGGAGAAGCTTGACGGCTTTTTGGGAGGGACCTGTTGGACGTCCCACTCGACATCCAACAGGTCCGCAAGGTCGGTTGAATAGAAACAAGGGACACTGAAGGAGTCACAAGATTCCGTGTCCGGATTTGGCTGGAAAACCCTGTGCCCAGTGCGGCTCACCAGTGCCAGCCATCGGTGCCACCGGTGCCCCCAAGTTCCACCATGTTCAACCTACAAGCCAGACTCCATGTCTGTCATATATACCATTGACCCCTCAAACCACACCAAAGTAGGTAAATATATGTCATACCCAGATACTCCATGTATGCCATATACGCCTACATTGGGGTGGTTTTGGGTTTCAATATAGGTACATATTCCATACATGGAGTGTTTGGGATACAAGGAGTCTCTGGGAAGATCCATTCTCAGTCCATCTCACCAGATCTGAACGCCGTTCCACATGACTCTTCCGCAGCATGGGTACCTCCGCATCCCAGCGGGGTCGAAGGGAAAGAAAAAGCCAGGCCTGGACATCCAAAAAAAAAAAAAAACAAACAATGGATGTATCTTTATCCAAACATCTCCATATTGGATCAACTTTCTGGTTGAGACTGCGCGGATTTTCCACGGGGCAAGGAGATGGATCGAAGCGGAAGTTGGCAGATGTTGGCGTCATGTTGCAACACTCCATGGTTGAAACATATTTACATGATGCCAACAGTTGCAACATAATTGTATAGCTGAATCATATTTGTAATTACCCATCAGTGTCAACATATGTATTGTTTGGACCCTCCGAAGTACCTAGAACATGGGACATGACCCCATTATTTAAAGATAAACACGGTATTTGGAACTGAGATTCCAAGGAGTGTTTGGCAGATTTTCAAGGGACAAACGCTTTCTCAGGTCTCGTACACCTACGGCCCGGACATCGTGGAGCAGTTTCTACGGGAGAATGAGCTGGACTGGGGGTATGTCGGATGGGGCGGGTCCTGGTAATCCCAAACCCAGACACTCCATGTATGCCATATATATGCCTACATTGACCCCCCAAACCACCCCAATGGCATATCTGGCATACATGGAGTGTCTGGGAAACTGGAGAAAAAGAAACGGATCAGGAACTCTGCGTGTTTCAAGGAGTAGTTCCACACAGGAGTTCGGAGTTGGGTGCCTGTGCCGAACGGAGGAAGGAGTACAGGTGCCCCTGTCACATCCACTCATAGGATTGGAGGCTGAACATCAATCACCCCAACGACTCCATGTTTCTCCTGGTAGTTCAACACCTTTTTGCTGAAGGGTCGCAAGACTCAAGTCTATACATTCAGAGTCCAAGTTTTGGGGATGTGTGCAGCCAGGACTTCATGGTGGTTGGGAATCAAGTCGTCGAGGATGGCTATGAGGCCGGAGTGTGCGTGCTCCATTGCTCTACAACCCTCTTTGTTGTACCCTGGAAGTCCAGTCGACGACCTCTCAAGAATGGTCCTCTGTAGGTGATCCGAAAGGGAAAGAGTCAAGGGTTCCTTTCACTTCATGGGCCTTGGGGCAAAATGTATGGGTGTGCATTAAAACCAGGGAGACCTCCCAGTTCGACTCCCTGGAAGAAGGAAAATAGACCAAAACGCATTCATTGGGAGCCTCCTATTTAAAATACACACCCAGATTATAGCCTTTGGACGTCCTTTGGACTTCAACACGGGCCACGGTGTTTTGCTTGGTCTGACCCGTATTCGCATTGATTATACATGGATCGCTTGACTTCACACCTTAGCGCACCTGCGGCGGGGGGTTCACCCCGCCCCACCACTCATTCCGGTGTTTCGATGTGGGACCGAGTAGGCCATCCAAGAGAGAAGATTGCCCACCCCTCAGCGCAAAAAAACGAGAAACCCACTTTTTGTGTGTGTGTGCATATTTGTTTGAAAGACACGTATAGTGCCGGAATTTCTGAAAACTTATGTTTGATCATTGAGGTTTTGCAGGTGTATCACCACCCTGACCTTTTTATGCTCCTCCTTCCTCAACCTCCGTGATCAGACTGAATGATAGAATTACGTTTTAATGTCCGCCTTTTTCGGCGGGCTCGTCCTGGACGAAGCAACAGAGGTTGACTAACCGCATACATACAGAAACATAATATATGACTGTATCATACTATTTATAACACATATGACTATTGTACATATGTATCATGACTATCATGACTATATATTTATGATTAAATATGACTGTATCCCATAGGTACCCCCAGTAATTCGTGTCCTTCTTCAGGTCACTGCATACCGAAGTCTGCAGGTCTCTGGGCCACGTTGCACGCTCTTCAGCGTGCCCGACTACTGCGGCGAGTTCAACAACCGCGGCGCCGTGCCCGTGGCCACAAGCGGCGTCGTCGCCCCGTCGCCGACGACGCCGCCCGGGGCAGGAACGGAAAGGACGGATGGCAGGATGATTTGAAGCTGCCAGGTTGTAAAAACTGGCTAGAGGGGTGGCGTTTTGCCATATATATACCTTCACCTTCAAACGTCACTTTTAAAAAAGGACCTGGCCTGTTTGTAACAGAATTCCACCTTGATCTCAGGACGTACTGATTTTGAAGGGTCGAGCGTTTTTTGATCTTGAGCCATTTTGGCTTGATCAGAGGGCGCCTTTGGTCTTGGGGTTGGACCAGGTGCCTTATGCATGTGTGTTTTGTGCACGCAAAGCAAGAAGGATCACAACTGTGCCTTGGCTGGTGCACTTGGCACGCAGGTGCTCTCTGGTGGGAGGATCATCTTGATCCTATACGAGGCCAAACACACTTCTTAAACAAATGATCTGTAGATCAGGACATGTTGTTTGTTTTGGGGAGGCCCTTTGCAGATTCCTTTGGTGATCCTGGCTGGCCTTACTGGCATGAGTTTGATGGCAAACCATTCATTCGATGTTGCACGTGTGGCAATTCTGAGTTGGGATTGCAGCTCACTTTAAGCTCTCAACTTCCCCAGCGGTCTTGCCTTCAACCTGCCTCCTATCGCTTTGCAGTATGGGGGGTAGAGAGAACAGCACAGCGTTGCAAAAGCAATACTCTTTCAGATCTAAAGTGGCTGAAGCTTGGAGCTCTTTTGACTACTTGGTTGCCGGTGCGGCCAAGGGGCACCTGGTGGTCTTTTCGACTTCAAAAAAAGGCCCAGTGAACAGGAGAGATGTCGTCAACAACGCAACTGTCTTGGGGCCTTTGATATGTGAAGTTGGCTTCTTGTTTGGAAAAGAGTCAACATTTAAGTGAAGATATTGTTTGTTGGTTATTTACCTGATTCCTATAACATCCCCCACACCGATCCTATCCAATCCCAGGCTTGCGCCCAACAATCTCAATCATCATGAAGCATGTCGATGAGTTCTTTTGGGCAAACCGGCCAGCCCACAAGCCTCCTGTGGAACGTGCTAGTCTCAAAATCAGAAGTGTTGAATTCATGCAGATCTATGTTCAACACCTACGGCCCTCAAAACTGGTCCCAAGGTGGAGTGATCAAGATGCACACTTGGGCTTTGAGAAACTTGATCACTGAATTTGGACGAGCTGCTCGGAGACCTCATGTTCCTCGGGAATCGGCCATGCGGGAGCTCTACGTATGTGCCGGGGTGGATCTTCCAGAGGGTGGCGGTGGCTGGGATGAACTCAAGAGTTGATGGCAATAAAGTTTGGTAGGTGGATCCTTATGGCCACTGCGGGGGGACTTGACTGATGTAAGGTTCAACGTCCGACCTGAGCCCGGATGCACCTGCCACTGAAGCTGCTGATGACTACGAGGGTTACTGGGAGGAAGGTGAAGAGGAGGCGCTTGAGGTGGATGCTGAAGTCGAGGCCAGAGGTGTTCAAGTAAGTCATCCGACGTCATCGATATATACGATACATTGGCCAATTTGTGTTTGGGAGGTACCCGCAATTGATCTTGCCCTCAACTTGAAGAAGGCAGAACCAAGCACTCCAGCTACCCGCCCCATCCTCAGCTTTCCTATTTTTAGCTAAGGGCTAAGACCATTCAGAATTCCTGTGCATGCATTAGGCGCACCTACATCTGTCGATGGAACCCCGGCATCCTCAGGCCTGGTGGTTTCATATCCCTTTCATGGATAGCAGAGATCTGGGTTCCCCCACGTTAGTCGACAGCTGACAGGTATCTCGACGCCACAGATCTTGGACTTGGCCACGAAGAACATCCACGGCCTGGTCAGGAGATCGAAGGATGGTTTCGAATGCCAGATTTGTGGGATGATTGCTTGTGACATGGAAACTTTGAAGTCGGTTGAATGCACTTCAACACCCGAGCCCAAGAGTAACCAAACATTGGAGTTCCAAAAGGCCCAACTTTCAAAGATGCAACTTCTAGATGATTTACAGAAGAAGTTACAGTTGCTTCAGCTTCAAAAAGATGTGGACGAGCGTCGTCGCCAATCCATGCCTCCTCCGCCACCGCCTTCACATCCACCGCAGGGTACCAACCTAAGTGATTGGCGATTCATTCAAAACTAGTACTTCGAGGAACCTTATATGTGAATGTTTTGCACGCAGGTATCGATAACATGGACACCCAAGTGATGGATTTGACAGAAGTGGCGGAGGCAGCAGCTGAAGCGACTGCCATCGCTGCCAAGGACCCTGTTGTTTATTATTGCCTATTATATCCACCAAACAATCTCATCCATAGCCAGGAGGAAGATTCCAGACGCTCTACATCAGAACTCCTTCGTGCACAGACATTGGTTCTTGGACAAGAAACGCCTGAACAGAAAGACGACAAGAAGGAGGACACAAATGGCACGGAGATTCCAATGGTACAACAGCCTTCCGAATCCAAGGAATCAGAAGAAAGCGCTATGGTACCTGAACAGAGGGTTGAGGAGGAGACTGGAGCCACAGCTGAGGAAAAGAACGTTGAGGAGAAGACTGGCGAGAAGAGTGAAGAGAAGAGAGAAGAGAAGGCGGCTGAAGAAAAGGCTGTTGAAGAAAAGGCTGAGGAGAAAACAGCTGTTGAAGGAACAATTGAGGTGAAAACTGCAGAAGGAAAGACTGAGGACAAGACGGCTGTTGAAGAAAAGGCTGAAACTGAAGAGAAGACTGAAAAGGAGAAGACTCAAGAGATCGAGACAAACGGGGCAGAGGAGACACCAGAAGAGAAGACCGAGGAGCATGAAGTGAAGAGTGAAGAGAAGATCGAGGAGACCCAAGAGAGTCCTGTGAAGAGTGAAAAGAAGGTTGAGGAGGTGAAGAGTGAAAAGAAGGTTGAGGAGGAGAAGAAATCAGAGAGTGCGGAGAACGGGGAGAAGGGCAAAGAAGGCGAGAACGCATTGCCGATTGCGCGACCAAAAGCTCTTGATGAGCACAAGCCTGTTGCTCCAGATGATCAGCCAAAAGCAGCAAAGAAGAAGAAGAGAAAGGGTGGCTCTGCAGATGATTGCGAGGATGAAGATGACAACCAGGATGTTGAGGAGAATGAGCAGAAGAAGAAAGGACCTGGCAGGCCCAAAGCGAAAGCCAAAGCCAAAGCCAAGGCAAAGGCAAAGGGCGAGAAGCCAACAGGAAAAAGGCAGAAGACCAACAAGCACCCCAATAAAGGACAGGAGGAGCTACAGGACCAACCGAAGGCCAAGAAATTCAAGGCATCGGCGTCGGCAGAAAAGAAGGAGGGAGAGGAGGAAAAGGTGGAAGAGAATGAGAAGGTGAAAGCCAAGAGGACGAAGGCAGAAAAGCCCGATACATCGTCGAAGAAGCCAAAGAAGTCGCAGAAGGACAAGGAAGAGGAGGACAAGGAGTCAAAACAACCGACCAAGGAGCCAAAGACAAAGAAGACTGGGAAGACAAAGGAACAGGAGCAGAAGGCCATTGAAGGTGGGAATTCAGAAAGGACGACGACCTCAACGAGGAAAGCAGCAGAGTCACAGGAAGAGAAGGAGAAAGCATCACAGAAGGGCAAGAAGAGCGATGATGCAAAGAAGGAAGAGAAGGAGCGAGGAAGGAAGAGAAAAGTGCAGGAAAGCCCAAAGGAGAAGACCGAAGGTGCTGATGGTGTTTCGGAGAGGGATCCTAGCCCAAACACCCTGAAGAGGCAGAAAAGATCCAAGCAGTGCTGTGCCTACAAGCAAGCCTACAACATGGCAATCAACTCCGGCAAAGATGAGGAGGAGGCAAGGGAAGAAGCTCGAGCAGTGACTGGACCCAACTAAGCAACCGCCCAAACGACTGAAACTGAATCATTCGTGTAACGTACAGACAAACCTCCAAACAGCTGGACACCAGCCAACGCGTTTCATCACGATCTGAGGCATACCGGAACTGCGCTGGCAGCTGAGAGCTCACTGGGGAACATCATTCACTTAAGTGATGAATGATCGGGTTTTCATTTAGCAAGAATGTACTTGCACAATCACGCACGCGTGGCTTAAGCCTCTTGCGGGCCATGCACATATAGATGGATCCTTGTCACATACATGGCAGGGCTTTGACCTGAAAGCTCCAAGACACCAACAGATGAAAAACAGAAAACTCCGAGCTTTATTTCCATTGTCCACTTGCAGGCAAGTGCATCTCATGGCCTCATCCTCCCATGGCATATTCCAAACCCTGGACCCACCCGGGTCGACCTACATCCTCGCACCCACTCTGTGCGCCAGGCTTCCCCCAGGCGATGGGCAAAGGATGTCCAGCCTGGATGTGCCGGGCAATGCGGGCAGGTGCCACCTCTCTTCAAACTGATCTGTCTTGAGTTGAACTGGTATTCGCAAGTGTTCTTTTTTGCAGGATTGGTGATATCACATTTTTGACTTTTTTTGTAGCTTTTGCCTGCTCCACATCGCATCAAGCACGTTTGCCATGACCTCTGTGCCTTTCAATCTTATGGAGCTTGGGGTTCCCAAGACTTTGGTCGCTATAGCCAGCCCCTTAGAAAATAGCAATCATGAGCGATTTCTCAAGCTGCCAATCCCCATCTGCAGCCTAGGTCTTACTCCTCGGATGGTGCAGCTTCTCAAGGGTTGAGGACGTGCAGTTCTTTGAGTTGTTTGCTGGGGCAGCAGCGACCACAAAAGTGTGGTTTGGGGGCCAAGAAAGATGTATATTATATCTATAGCCACGACTGCCCCCATCCATCCAGTGTCCACTTCCTGAGGCACCAGGCAGGCTTCAAATGTGTGGCCCTGGACAAGTGCTTTGATGACCCCTGCAGGGTTGGTGAATCTAGACTGCATGACACCATATGACACCCCAACACGTTATTTTCTGGATATGGAACTGTGAGCTCAGGACCTGTTTGAACCTTGTGCTCTACGAAGTGGAGAATGCCATCAATATCATGGCACCAGATTGTTCTAGCTGGGGAATTCCATGC